AGCCGCAAGAAACGCTCCTTTACTTACTACATGGATTCCCTTTGTCTAAAGTCTAACCACTGGTGGTGGTTAGCTTGTGCAAGCACTTATGCTTCTCGGAGGACTCCAAAACCACACAAATCATCCTCCAAGTCAACCCCCCTTAAGAAAGACAGAGGGGGTTGTATTTGTACATGAAAGCTCGTCTAAACTCATTCTGGGTTGTCAAGATGAGTATAATAGCAACATAATTTAAGAAAATCAATATCAAGCATATTGATGTATTATATCAACATCCATTGTTCTAATGAGTTGATGTATCTGTGGCTTGAAATGAAATTTTTCTAAAAGAAATAGTTCCTCAATAGCTAGTGTATATCAATTCAATCTAATCAAAAGCCAATTAATTTGGTACAAACAGCAAAACATATTTTTCATGATGGTTGAATTGGCATGGAATCACATAGTTTTGATGCAAACAAATGGTTAAAGTTTTAAATTCAAAAGTAAAAAGATAAAGTTGTGGATGCTGAGTTGCCCTTCAATCATTCCAAAAAAGGATGTTATTGTGGAAAAAGCCAATGTTTAAATACAGAATAATAACTGCTACATAAAGAAATTTCCTTTTCTTTTTATATATTTTGGATCTTGATCTACAAGCACAAATTTATCCAAATAATAAAACTAAGAAAACCAAGTGAAAGTGAAAAAGGAAACACCTGGTATTTGTTGAAACTTAACAAAGGGAACATTATCATTAGAAAGTCAAAATCAAAATCAATATAAAGTATGAAAATTCCAAACATTATCATTTTCTAATAGTATTTAAGTTTTGTATTAAAGAAAGTACAGGATAAGCATAACTAAAAATTCATCAAGGAGCCATGCTATCTATGAATTCCGATAATGACGCTCCTAAAAAAATGCATGAATCAAGTACAAAACTAATCATGATACTTGAATATAATAAATCCTAGGGCTAAAAGTTTATTGAACTAGAAAACAAATTGATAGACTTTAATTACAAATTTGGAAAACAGATGGCTTTTTGCATGAGGTCAAAACACCTCAGATAAGTCAAGCTTTGCAGGCCCAATATATGTAGGCTAATAGTCACGGCTCAAGTCAGCAAGGTTGCATGATAAGATTGATATCAACACCAAGCCCAATACTAAATGGAAGTCCCATCCACAAAGGTATAAGTTTGCATAGATATGAACGAAGACAAAGAATGACACCAAGCAATGAGATCCCAGGGTTCAATAGAGTCCTTCAGTGTGATACGACTCGAGTTTTTGTGTCATTTTAGAACATTTTGCATAATCCCAAATTCCAGTTCAAGCCCTTGCTTCCTAATTCCCCGTCGTCACTAAAGATTTCAAAAAAACTCAGAGCATCATTGTCTTATGAGTCAGAATCTATATCAAGACAATCATTTGAACTTTATTTGTTCTAACTTGGGTTTGTTGTGTGTTTTTTAATCATCATTGTGACTTATCCTCTTACAAACCATTTTTAAGTAGTATACAGTATAAATTAAGAAAATCACTCCCAACATTTTTCTTCCAAGTATAGAGCTAAGATTTTGTACAACAATATTGATTTGCCGCCTGTTGGATACTTGTAGTCATAGACATGACATGTAAATGACTTTACATCCAAAGATTAGTTTGGACACTTACGACAGAGATAGCTATGGGCCAGATATTTTTCTCTATAGATCAAAGAGTTGCATAATAGAATGGAGAGTTTCAACAAGCTAATTACTGATATTCAGTATATTGTCTGTTTGTGTATCACATATTGTATTGAATTTTATATTTTACCATTTTGTATCATGTGCCATATCCTCTATCATGAGATACATTTAAGTAATGAAATGAAATAAAAGTTAGAAAATAATAGGCGCAAATATCTATGAAATTGGAAAGGAAACTCGCAAGACAACATCTTCATTGAAACATACAAAGTATGATTAGATACATTAATAAAGAAGAGCTTAGAGCTAACACGAAGCTCCAAGCGCCAGTGGGTGAGAAACCAACAAAAAGAAAAACAAAAGAAGCTGCCACAAAACCAGACAGAGAAAAGAAGATGTTGCGCCTATTATTTTCAATGAAGATTTATTTGCGTTTCAAAAAAAAAAAAAAAAGTGCTAATAATAGTACAATCATGTACATTTTTGGTAGGGAAAATGTATGGCCAAGTATGTTGTCACGCCCCCCAAATAATAACAATAACTCCAATTCTTATAACAGAATGTTAATGGAAATATTATGCTTTCATTCATCAGAGTTTGCATTATAAAAGAGAACACATTGATACATTCATAAATGTTCACCCTTGAATTTATAGCATGTACTACCAGTTAATAGTTAACAAAAATAAATGCCCTATAGACTTACATCTTTCCAAGTCATTACTTGGTCACAACAAAAGATTCATATGCTCTGTACATATAAAGCCCTTGGCTTGAGTAAACATTAAGCACAAATAACGCAAAAAGAGCCTGGAGCTCCAAAGTTCTCCCAAGCTACGTCCTTGGAGAAAGCATGTCACCGGTACCTGAAAATGGTTTTCCAAAATAGGGTGAGCCAAAGCCCAGTAGAAACAATCTAACATAGCATATGAAAATTAACAAGATATAAGTGTGATGCACATATTTATTATCCAATGACAAGTCTTTATAACTCTTTTCCAAAGCCATGTTATACCAAACTTGCTTCTCAATTAGTTCATTTTGGTTCATTAGATACATCCATTTCATTCGACTCATCAACAGAGGTTACACCTCTCAAGTTTCTAACAGACGAAATCATCATACAAACACATTCACTTCTATTTGCCATTTTACGAAAATTTCGTCCTCGGGAATTGGCACCTATGTATACAAATGGTTTTCGGGACTTTCACCCTGAACACACAGACCAACTTAGTTCAATGGAGTCCATCCCCATTCTTCTTCTCAAAACAAGAGGTACATCCCATTTCTCCTCCCAAATATCATACATATACAATGTATATCATTCATAATCATATACAATGATAATGGTTAAAGGATTAGTTTCAGTTCACCTAATCCACAGGCAACGTCTACAACAATCATGACTATCCTTCACCAATAGCCCAAAACAATTATTTCTAAACAGATATTCAATCTTTATAACAGATAAATCATCAAATTTCCATAGGTGAGTGATTAAGCAAATCCAACAACACCATTCATGCATACATCCTCCCAATTTTACTTTTTTCATACCAATTTCATTATTTATACAAAATAATTATTCAAGATATTTTTAGGGCAAAGCTTCTCACTTCTCAAATATTAACCCAATAACCATTTTGACACATGATAACCTCATGTCCAAACCCCAAAACCATTTATACAACCCTCACATAGAAACCCCTCTTTTCAAACTTTGACCTAGACCCTAGGTTTGCTCAAAACATCTCCAAAATCTCACCATTGTCATACAACGACATATAACCAAGTTAAAACCCATATTAAGGTGTAGAGAGTCCCTACCTCAAGTTTAGAAGACCAATGAAGCAAGCACGAAACTCCAACGATGCCGAAACCAAATTTCAATTGGTTCAAAGTGAAGCTCTCAAGATGCTTTACCCTTTTTCCAAAGACACTAGGGAGGAGAGATCAACGGATCAAGGAGAAAAGTAGAGAGAGAGAGAGTATTTTAGAGAGAGAAGGTCTTACTTTAGGGTTTTTAGAAGAAAAGATCTGAAAAAGTGATGTAAAAAGTCATTTTCGCGATCTGATATACGCACAGTCCGCTCGAGCGGAAGAGTTGACGCTCGAGCGTCAGACACAATAAGTTGTTCCGCTCAAGTGCAGAATATACACCTCCAGTACTTTTGCAGACAACAGACAAACCGCTCGAGCGCCCACGCGCTCGAGCGTAGGAAATGCCGCTCGAGCATGGAAAACACCCCTCCAGTATTTTTACAGACGTGCAAAGTACTGAGGATTTGCAAACCTCACTCGAGCGCAAGAAGTTCCGCTCGAGCAGAAGACCAAAATTATGGGCAGCACAAGGTTTGAAAACTAAGCAACCAACCTATTCCAAACTCACTCAACACGTCCAAAAAACCAAATTTAAGGAGGAATAAGGAGTAAAAGACAATGAACGATACTCAGAAACCATAAGCCCGAGTCCGAAAGTGTCGGGTCAAAACCGGGATCGTTATATATGTGAACCTATAATTTTGAGGGTTTGGACAATTTTGGTAAGTACTACTAAAAGGAAAATTATATTTGTACCTAATTCACACAACAAACATTCTACATTATTGTCCTATTGGGTCAAGAGTATACATACACATGACATTCCCATGAGAAGTAAAAAAAGAAAAAATAAAAAATAAAGGGCAAATTAAACTTTTAGTCTCTGTAGTATATTTATTTTGTTAGTTTGATCCTTATAATTCTAATTGTATTAATTTTATCATTTAGTTTTTTTATACTATGTTAATTTAGTCTAATTAATAATGTTCGTTTATAAATAGGGCTGAAATGGATGGGCAAAATAATCTATCCACTAAGAAATTAGCATCCAATTTGAAATGTTTATTCACTTGAATGCACCAATTTTCCCTTGATTTCTCTTCAATTTTTTTGTAGATATCAATTTAGACGACTCAATATAAACTTTAAAGGGTGAAATTGATACAATTGGAACTACAAAGAATAAATTGACACAATAAGCAAATTACAGAAGCTACTAGTGTAATTTAGCCTAAATCTTTTATATGCAATTCTTATTAAGAGAATGATATGAGTATAATAGTGATACTATCGGAAAATTGCAAATCAACGCACCTTTACAAAATATTTACAAATTCATAGAAAAAATTAATTATTGAAGTTAATAAAATTTACCACTGATTTAATTTTTTTTTTTTTAAACATACGCTGTAATTTTTTCAAAATTAATCACATCTCAAAACCCATGTACACTAAAAAATTAAAAAATAAAAAAATAAAAAAGAGGACATACTTACCTCTAGTATAAGTGAGAGGGGGGGAGCTTTTTGATAGCAATGGCATCCAATAGGGGTCCACAAGTAGGGTCCTCTTGAACCCCACGGTTATGAAAAGTGACCTTAACAACCTTAGAACTAGCCATGAAAGCCCATCCATAAGTATCACCACCATCACTGCTATACAAGGTCTGAATTGGAAGATCAGCAGAGAGACCAGAGGCAGAGACTCTCAACACCTCATCAAGTGCACAAGTTCTTGTGGCACCAAACGTGAGAGAATAGATTGCACCAATAGTGTACACAGTCACATTTTGAGAGATTGATGCTTTATTTCCTAGCCTTACTGCATGGGCGCCATGTGGAATGGCAAAGTAGAAGCCACATGGCTGAGGCCTACCTGACATGTACTCAACTAAGCCATTGATTTCCCAGTTGGGTAGTGAGTGTTTTCCTTTGATCATTGTTTTGTTGAGGTTTGAGGGCTTTGGTGGTATTTCAAAGTCTCCATTTGCCAGAAGTCCTGTGGAGAGAGAGTGTTCATAATTAATCACACCTAACTAATAAAATTTAGTCAAAATTTGGACTTGTTTGGTGTTTTCTACCCAAATTAAAAGTTAATAATCAGATACAAAAGTCAGTTGTCACAAAAAAATTTAAAAATCATTCAAAACATAATTTTTTTTAAGAAGTCATAACAAAGTTAAGAAATAACAAAAAAAAAAAAAAAAGAAAAAGAAAAAAGAAGATAAGTTGTGAAATGGGCACTAAAGGTAAATACACTTATTTCTAAACCTTCAACTTTTATATTCAGTTTTTTTTTTTAACTTATTTAATTTATGTATGTTTTATAAATAGAAATTGCAACAAAATACTCTAGCATAAATTTTCAAAATAAAAAAGGAAAAATTATATGTAGCCTTTTAGAAAATTATACATTTTTATGTTCTACTAAGACGAAAGAAACTTGGCGAATGAGTACATTAAGATCTCTATAGTAGGCTTGGCGAAAGATATAGGTATTGATTTGATTGATGCAGTCAATAGTCAGAAACTTGGCGTTACGGTGAGTGAGACCCAATTGGAGGAATTTTTCTCACTGATTTCCTGAGCTCAAACCTGCAATTAGGAAACAGTTTAAAGTATAAGCCACAACTGCTTGCGATTGTCAATTGATGCATTCCTGTAAGCGAATGAGATCTGTTGATTTTGTTGATTCAGAATGAATTTTTTTTGTTTGTCTCTTTGTAAATTTGGTTTGATGTAAAATGGGTATATTGAACTCACGTGTTGTGGGTTTTTCCAACTTTCCATTGACAATAAAATCTGTGTTGTTTAATTAACTGCTTTCGAACAAATAAATGGTTTGGTGTTCAGTTTTCGCTTTCTATTTTTGTTTCGCACAAACGAGCTGAATTGCTTTTGTTAGTAGGTCATTTTTGTTCGAAATTTGTAACAAAAGAAAGGTGAACTAAATTGGAAATGCTAAAATAGATTCCTCAAGGCTCAGGACAGAAACAAAATGGATTAGCAAAGGATTGTTGTTGTGTCATGTAGGCAAAACTAAAGGTAGGGGTGTATTTCAGGCAGATTCGGACGGATTGGTAGGTTGTTCAATCTCAACCCAAGTTGTGCTAAGAGTTGTCCAGGTCCGAATTGTAATCCAAGATTGTATAACTAAGCCCAACCTAAGTTAAACTAGAATTGCCTGAATTTTATATAAATTTCAGTTCCCCCCTCCTGCCTCTTTTAATGCAGCTAAGTTAATTAATTTGTTAAAATTAGATTCTATTTACATTTTTTTTTTATAAAATCATTAATAGCATCAAAACAAGTAATTTATATAATATAAAAGAGATGCCACTATGGTGGTCTTCACAATTTGGGAACTTAGTTATTTGAGTTGATTTTTTGACTATATTAGCCTGACTAAAAAAAGTTGTGTTTGGAAAGATAGTTTTTTTATTTTATTTTATTTTTTATAGTTAATTTGATAGTTATGAGAGAAAAAATGAAATGATTATAGTTTGAATGTGACATTTTGTCTTATTGGTTATTTTAGCCTATTTTGTTTTTTATGAACTATTTTAGCCTCAAACCCTCTTCCCAAATAGGGCCAACTTATGAGTGAGAAAAAAATGTATAAAATTTTATATTGTGTTACTTGTATATATAATATATTTAATATGATCTAACGATTTAAATTACTGTAATACATCTAATAGCTAAAAATTAGTCCTTAAAAAAAAAAAAAAGCTAATAATTTATACGTTTATTTGCTATATATATAATTCAGATTTCGAGTTGCTTAGGTTGTTTAATGCCTTTGCTCCCTTAAGTAAAACCTCTTTTCAACCATTCTATCTTTGATCTCTGTGGATTCAGCTATTCCAATGCAGTTGCTCCATAAATTCTTCAGCTACATGTTCTACATCAGATAATTTTGAGAAAAAAATTTGTAAGTGGAAATGTTTTTTTGGGCGAGTATAGAAGTAGAAAATTTGAAAGAAAGACATAAAACCAAGCTTAGGGGGGAAAATTCAAAAAATTCAAATAAGCTTAAAACCAGAAAAGGTTTACTAAAAACACCCCAACTTTTCAAACTTCAAAGTGCGACTGATTAAGCATGGAATTTCAAATTTTAAACTACTAAGCTACAAATGCCTAAAGTATTTAAAACTTGTGCAGCAGACAGTAACAAAAATAAATAAATATTCATGGTAAGTTCCAATTTTCAATCCAAATTGATAAACAACCGAATAAATGAGGCTAAAATTCATATCATCTCACCATTTAAACCTCTCCGGTATGTAAAAAATGCTAATCTACTAAGTGAAAAACTTCAACCATATGCAACAAACTTTGACTAATTACACAACCTTTTGATAATATTTCCAAAAAAATCACTAACCTCACCACAAAAACATTAGACAACGGGTATGAAAGATTTGAACATAAAGTGGCTACTATACTACTTATTGTTTCCTGGTAAAACTAGTCACCTTCCACTTCAGAAATGGCTTCATTTAAAACTTTGTGAAGTTCTTTCACTCTTTGTCGTGTTAATGCAGTACAGTCCTGCAATTATAACACCATTCCTCATTAGCAGACAGCATTGAATTCATTTGTGTTTTCGTATGGTGTCTTACTGAGAGCACCATATACACACTCTATACTAGAAGTTTAAAAGTCAAGTCAAAACAATATTTTAGTGGCAAAGAAGTTTTTATAATCCTATTATCAATTTATCATTTCCAGATTGGATAAAAGAAACCATTTTAGTTGAATGCATTTTCTAAGGTTCTTGCTTTGAAAGAAATGCATTTTCTTTATAAAACCCTATTTATACTCCAAATAACTTCAATGGAGTACACAAAACTTGGGCTGCGATTGGATTAAGAATTTGAGTATAGATTTATGAAGGGAAAGGAAAAGCCAATAAAATTTAGCTTTCTATTCCATTCACTTCTCCCTTTCTGTTTCCTTTCCCTTTGCAAATATGTCCCCAAATTGTTGAACCAAATGCAGCCTTAGATTACATTCAAACACCTAAAAATTTCTAAAATTCTAGGGTTCCCTACTAATTGTGGAGCTAATAGTTTGGGACATACAGTTATATATTGGGATATCTGGTGGAGTTTCAACAAACATGACATTTGATAACTTGATCTCACACCAAAATGTGGACTGAAAAAAGGTGAAAACGAACCTGGATGGCTGATGTGTATGCAAAATTGGTCCGCCGTGCTTGTAGAGAGACACTAGTTGAAAAGATGAATCCTATACCACAGTTACATGAGTTTCCACGATGGACTTTTCCTCCGTTGTAGGGTCTGCCAGAATGTAATTTTTGTGAAGTATGCATGTCAAAGAGAATGGGACGCTACTCAGCTTGAGCTTTCTCTTCCCTTTATTGACCGACTCATTTTTCAACTTGCCTCCATCTTCCTCAGAAACAACTACCACTCTTCCATCATCATTCCGAGAAACTACTGGGATTTGCACTGCAACGCAAAAATTCAATGGTAAATAAACTGTTGGAATTAGAGGTGCTTTATCAAACATGACAATATGCTTTCAACAGAAACACAAATGTAGAACATTACCTATTCACCCAGATTATGTTGAAATTTTGATAAGAATCTACCAAATACAAGAATAATTTTTTATATAGAAACAAAAGAATATTAATTTTGATAGGAATCTATCAAATATAGTAATAATGTTGTAAACAGAAACAAAAGAACATTGTCTACTTTTTGCCCTCTTTTTAAGCCAAGTTGAACATCATCAAACATTGTCATGAAAATCCATTGTGCATGCGTGTACCAGCTACTCACCTTGATACTATAAAATCATGAAAAGCACTATAACATGCATATCTCACTCAGACACCATCAACTATATCGAATAGGAAAAGATCCTTCGAGCAAGCAAATTGTGAGCGACAGTGACACAGACAACAATTCCTGCTATGCTAATCTTGCTCTTCATTAGGGTTTTAAATTTTTGACTTGTACCCTTGTGTTCTTATTCAATCAGGTTTCGTTACACATCGAGCCCCATAGTATTCAAGTATACATTCAGATCAAAAGGTCTTCCATCTGTTGGGCATGTGCAACTCCTCCTTGTTGAAGCCAGAATAACCGCAAGAAAGCATGTTGATTATGATGCAGGCCTTGTGGGGAAAATCTCTTTGCATAGCTTGCTTAAGTTTGGAGCCAGCAAGATTATATGGAAACCAAATAATTTTATTTGGGTGTTTCTTATTGGCCACCACCAGCACTAAATTAAGGCATGCACAAGAAGAATGATAGAAATGTAAATGGTGTGTATATCTTACAACGAGAGAAGGCAGCAACTACTGCAAGTAATGCAGCATCAAAAAGAGCACCATCAGCATCCAAGCAGTATATGTCCTGCAAGAATAAAATAAATGTTGTCCTTGTCTAATAAAGAAACAAATGAGCAGTGATATCCATTTTTAATGACACCACAAGCTAAGAACATTATATGGTCAGTAACCACAATGCTGAAGACTATCTATTATTGGATATACACAATTCATATTGAAGAGCTCAAGATCAAAAGTCAAATAAAGAAAATGTTTCAATTTATATAAATGAAATAGAGAGTTCTTGTCTCAGAAAACATTACTAGGTAGGCCATCCAAGCAGCTTTCCCACTGACCAAGGATAGCTCCTTGAAGTTAATCATGCCAGAACTACAACCACCCAAATAGTTAGTCGGTTAAACACATACATATTAAATAACTAACAAAGTGTTCCAAGTATAGGTGTACGATCATTAAAAGTTTGCAATCATCTGTGTTGAGTATATCATTGCAATAAACATCACATGTGCAGTGAGACAGTTCATGAAATTTCAATCCTTTATTTTGTTAGGTGCATTACAAGACTACATGACTGATAGTATATTGAAGTTTGAAGTCAATAGAATTTCC